CTATAAGGCTACTATAAAGTAAACTAATAAGACTTCTAGAATAATAACTTCTACTAGGAATAGCTAGTAAAGTAGAAAGGTTACTCTAAATTAGAAAATATATAGGAACCTAAAGCTAACCTATAAAACTATTAGTAACTACTTAAGAAAGTAAGACTAAGATTTAGCGCTTATTATTATACTAGATAAACGTAACTAAGAAAGCTACTTTTAGCTAAAGAGTAGTACTATCCTCTATAGTAGTAAAAAAACCTAAACTACTAAGAATAAACTCTAAAGAAACTAAGAATAAGAAATTATTAAAAAGCTAATCTAATAAAGAATTAGAAAGAAGACTATTAACCTATAGCTAATCTAGGTTAGTAGAAACTACACCTATAAAAGATAAAGATAGCATACTTAACTTATTTAATTAGTCTTAAAACTATAGTAAGGTAAGATTATAACGCGCTATATCTTACTTATAACTCTTTAGCTCTACTAGCTTACGCTATATATAAGTAACTACCTAAGTAATCTACGTAGTAAACTCCTCTATATAAAGAAGCGCTAACTTCTTCTTATATTTCTTCTACTTTACCTTCTCCTACTCCTCCTTAGAAATAAATAGACTATACTTAGCCTTTACTATAATATACCTAGTATAATAACTAGACGCTATATCTATAAAATACTATAGACCTTTCTCTTTATAATAACTATACTAAAATAATATCTCTTACGCAGCTGCACGTATACGCGCTACCTAAGATTAACACTCTAAGGTAGAAGTTTCTCTATAAGGCGTACGCGCTCTATTAGTTTATTATTTCTTAGGTATAGTTAGTAAGGTCTATAGAATATAAATAAAGTATAGGGTACTATAGACTTTATACTAATAGTTAATATAGTATAGAATAATAAGTAGGGGTATTAGAATAATTACCTAGAAAGAGGGAAGGTAATATTAAGATTTAAGAATGTAGAATAAAGGGCAGAAAGGATAGAATAATAGTAATAATATAAGGTAATACTATAATATTATAACTAAGATTAGGTAATAATACTATTCTACTAAGCTATAATATCCTGCTAAGTAAGAAATAGTTAACTATTTCTAGATAGCTAACTATCCTGTGCTTTTAGGATAGCAGTACTTTAAAGAGATAGTATTACTATATATAGGAATAGTAGGAACCTTATAGTTTCTAGTATTTAACTTAGTTAATAATCTATTATTTAGATTCTATTAAGTATTATTAATTTAATAGTTTTATAACTCTAATACTAACTACCCTATTACTTACTTACGTAATTAACAGCCTCTCCCCTGTCGCCGCTTCTACCTAAGAACCAACTTACCCTTATAGGACTAGCTACCCTATAGGGACGTAATAACTACTAAGTCCTATTTATACTATTATTAGTACGCCTAGAACTATTCTCTAAACTTTACTCTAACTAGTAGTTAGTTTGCGTACTAGAAGCATAGACTACCCCTCTAAGTATTTCTACTTCGTACCTATTTTGCTATTTCTATTCTATACACGATGTCTTATATCTATCTAGATATTACACGTAGTAATTAATTAGTCTTTGCTATAAGAACTAAAGGCCTACTTGTTATGTCCTCGTAATAATAACTAAGGTAGAGTTACTTACTCTATTACTAGCTAGATTATAGATAAAGAAGTAGACTTAATTTCTTAGAGAGGTATTCTATAAGATAAATAATACTCTAATACTTTAGTATAATAATTAGTAAATAGTTAGGATTACTACTAAAGAGGAAGATAAGCTAAACACTAAGCTAAAGCACGTTAATATTTATTAGTTATAGGTATAACAGGAGGTGCAGGCTAGTTATTTAAACGTTAAATAGGTTAATATAATTATAATGCCCGCTAACGGTATAACTAAGATCCTTAGGAGGCAGAAGCATGCTACGTTCCTTAGGCAGCTTCGCCTAATTAATATCTCTACTCGCCTCGATTGGATATCGGGGGTGCAGAATACGGGCGTGTAGGCCTCTCTCCTACTCTTTTATTTATACCACCTCTCCGCTACTTACTGCAAGGTGACGGGGTGTGTGACGGTTTCCACATGTTGCTAGGCGTCTATAGCTGCCTGCTACTGTCGATGGCTGCCTGCTACTGCCTATCGTTGCCTACTGCAGCCTGTGTCAACCTGGACGACAGGGCAGTATATATAGACGACTAGATACCTTCTTTGTCAATCAATGCAGTTCCTCAAGCTTCCACTATACGTGACAATATACGATAGGAAGGATCCCGCGCGCAAAATATCAGCGCAATCCGCGGACAACAAGACGTTTTGTGGTACACTTACGACCTTCATTCGCCCAACCGCCCCCAAAGCCCCAAAAACACCCACCCCATGACATAAGGGGTTAAAAAAGGCAAAAAGAGAACGTCTCTCCCTCGGGGAATCGAACCCCGGTCTCCCGCGCTTGTTAGCTGTTTTAGGACTGACAAGCGGAAATCATGACCACTAGACCAAGGAAGATTTGATTGAATGATGTAGAGGATTCCTAATAAATAATAAATATCGCACAAAATTTGGTACTCTATGCAGCTAGCGAAGACTTGAGTGCTTTAAAAGATAACGGGCTGGAATATTTCGAGACATGGGTCGCCGTAGTGCAAAATGAGAACCGAGCAAATTAAAAGACGGCAAAATGGTGGGATGACGGCTCAGCGGCGACTTACCGACCGTGCCTTCCTCCATCAACCACCAACCACCATCAAGATACCAGAAGTTGAAAAACACAACCGCTAAGAGCCATGTCAGAACGGAGACTAGAAATATTTATACAGGTCCCGCCCGACATAACCGGTACGATGGATGACGCTAAGATCAACGTTTCGCCACTCGACGTTGTGGATTAAGCGCCGACACGGTTTTAGACGCCAAATCAGGACGAGAATCCATCGCATGGAGAAGACTTACGAAGTCGACTTCGATGAGAAACAGGTGAGACAACTTCCCACCGAAATCGACCCCGCCCCTTCACGTTGGAAGCTGGTCCCAAAGATGGAAATATTTTGTAGCGAGAAAGTATCCATGGATGGAGCATATGCACGCTATACGCTTTTACAACTAAAGAACTGTTCGCATCAGGATATCCGGTACGTACGAGGGAGCTACAATGTCTCTTTGCTTCATGCCTTACTCATCACAGCCATTCCACACCCTAAATCTCCTCTGTCAATGAATGCAAGAAGCTCTCAATCTACCCCCAACGCACCATCCACGCGAACCAAATCTTTCTCAAACTTCCACCTCAAACTCTCCCTCCCCTACCCTCTCCGTCTCCGTCCCCACTCTCAAAACGCCCCTCGTTAACCTCCACCCCCTAACTCCCAGACGTCCACGTACATTAGCCCTACAAAACCAAAACGTAACGCCCTCCCGCGCAAACCTCCCATTCAAGCCCCTCATGGTCCCATTGAAATGCTCCACAAACTTGCCCTCACCATGCAAATCGCCGTACACCCTACTCACCTCGGTGAACAACTTGCCTATGCGCTGCAGCCGCTCATACAAGGCTTTCTTCTCCTGTTCAGTTTGGGTTTGTGGGGGTGAGGGCTTTGGACGCCGCGCACGCCGCTTGCAAAGTTGCGCCCGGCAGTGGGGGCAGAGATTTGCGCTTGCGGCGGTGCCGTTGAGCCATGCATCTAGACAAGGAGCGCCGAGGATGTGTCCGCATCGGAGGAGGAGGAACGCTGGGTGCTGCATAGTATATTCGTCTATGCAGATGCAGCAGCGGCGGGAGTGGTCTCGGTCTTGCCCATCCCCATCGCTTTCCCCGTCCAGTCCTCCAGCTTTCGCATCTTCCTGGAAGCAATCAATCACCATCTGGATCTCCTGCCCGAAGTCATTGATGTCGTGATCCGGGCCTACATTCTCGAGCTCAACCTCCTTGTCGAAGTAGGGATCGAGGGCTTCGAGGCAGCGCAAGAGTCGAACCACCTCGTCTCCGAGCAGTTTACCCAGTTCCCGGATTTCTGCGTCAAATTGGCCTGCTTCCTGTATCCGGCGCGTTACGCCTGGATGGCGTGTCTCGTAGATGATGTTCAAGTTGTATACATTGCGGAGGTCTGCAATAAGGCGTTGGACGCGCTCTAAGAGATCCATTTCTTCATCCTTCACTGCGGCGTTGGCGGCTTGTCGGCCCCGTATTACGGCGCGGTAGAAGTTGTCGTGGTCTTGGAGGAAGTCGAGCATGTGGGTTGTGAGGTGGGAGAGGCCTATTGTTTCTGCTATGCGGAGTTGAGCGGCATAGGTTCGATCTTGCCGGATTAGGGCGTCGACGTTGGCGAGTGCGCGAGTGGCGAGGACTGCGTCTGACTCGGGTTGCTCTTGGGCTATTTTCGATTCGAAAGTCAGGCGTATATGGGCCACTTTTCCAAAGGGAATTGTTATATGTGCCTCGGTCGTTGGTGAGAGATCTGAGTGGAGGCGGTTGAGGGATTCGTAAAGGGTATTTTGTAGATCGGACATGTACAGACGATTATTTGAACAGTGGTGGCGCTTGGTGGGCCTGCTTGTCACGGTATGGTGTTAGCCATGCCCGAGAGGAGCAATAAATAATCGGTGCGGAGACAATGCGCAATTCTGGGGTGGTGATAGAGGCCGATTCCTCGACTAGTGAAAGCACTAGTGTAATAAGTCGCATATAGCTAATGCGGTACATTGTGCAGTGACCTTGGAACTGTCGTGCTGTGACCTGCAAATTCAAGTTAACTTTTTCGGAATCTTATTGCTTGTTCGAAGCACTGTGCTTGCCCTTGGAGTCATCTTGTATCCTTGGTTCGCGCTGACCTACTGAACAAACTTCTCCCTCTCGCCCTACTCCTCCTCTTATTGCTTGTTACTGTGATGAAAACCAAGTCGAAAGTGAACTCCCTCAACGCAATTCACCTGCTTACCCGTCCAAACCCATCTCGCTAACTCGCGTGCTTCTTGGTCGTGATTCAGTGGCACAAAGAGCGTCGCATAAACGGTTTATGCCCTACATAATAAGAACTGCGAACCCCCAGGATAGGCTTTGTGAAGTACTGACCCTGCACTCTAGCCATACAATCGCGAGACTGCGTGGCTTTCAACGAAAGAAAACAGGTGCGATAAATCGACCGTCGCTCTTCATGACTCGGGCGAGCGATACTCGAATCCGTTCCGATAGAAGTTGACCAACTCCGCCCCAGAAGCTTAAGCGTAAATAACCTGCTAGAGATAGAGCTGAACGATACCATTTTATAGAATCCGTACTTCTCTCGTAGAACCTAACGGCGCTATTCCTCGAGGCATAGCGTTGGGCTGCCGTTTGGGCACAAGCTACGTGCACAAAGGGTGAATAACAAGCGCCTCGTCCTGCCCATCTTGATCTTCTTCATACTCCTACTCGTCTTCATCTCCCAAATCCATCTCCTCTTCCTCCACTTCCGCTTCCTCGTATTCTTCCTCGTATTCTTCCTCGTCCCCATCATACTCGTCCTCATTCCCACTCCCCTCGCCTCACACATGGTGGACGACGGGTACAGAAAAAGCGCTACCTTCCCAGACGCCTTCACAACGCCAGGGCAGATTCCGCGCCACAAAATGGTCATTCAGCGCGTCGCAAACCTCGGTTTCCATGTCCCCCACAGCCTCAGCATGCCACACCCTTCCAATCATCCCTGTCGCCTCAAACAGCAGATCGTTAAAGTATTGGATCTGCCGAACTACATGCTCAAACTGTGGATCTTCAATCGGCTCCTCGGGTACATGTTCATTTAGCTTGGGCTCGTAGAGCGCCGCCCGACAATGCGGGCATTGGTCGGCATTTCCGCCTCCCCATCCACCCACTTCTCCAAGCATTTGCGACCAAAGATGTGTCCGCAGGTGGAGAGTCGGAAAAACGGTTCAACCTTTGTCGCGTACTCCTCGTAACAAATCTCGCAGCTCCAGCGGTAGTCGCGGCGTGCGTCATCCTCAGTCAACTCTACGCGCTCAACTTCAAGTGTGAGCGGATGCTAGAGGGTGCGCAGTTGCTCACGCGTAAGAACATGTCCGATAATGTCCATATTAGAATCCGCTTCGTTGTCCTCGTCCATTGGCGCATCGTCGAAAGAAGCGGCCTCGAACAATAAGGGCAAGAGACTCTCGCAAATGTCACGAGAGACCAAACGCAGACGCCGCTGGAAGTCCTTGTTTTGTGCTAAACGCATATCGATATGAGGGGTAGACGTGAGCGGTACAAGTGTAGCATCGTGTGCGAGTTTGAACCAGGCGAGATAGTCTAGCTGCGTCCTGCATTTGCAAAGGAGACAGGGGTCGTCGATAGCGGCTCTGTCGGCAATGTCTCGCGTCTTTGCGATTGTTCTCTCGAATCTTGCGTTTTTCGAGAGGAAGTGATGATGGAACGGGGTCAATTCCAATGGATGTAGACCTAAACGTGAGATTAAGTAGTTAGCAATGGTCATCTAGAGGGTTTCGGTGCCTGCCGTCTTATACAAAGAGCCGATGTATCTTGATGATTAGGAGTCACTTTGTACCAGGGAATAACTTACTCTGGCACAAGACGAGTGTAGACCCATAAGTCGTATTTCGGATGCGTAAGACATCTATAAGGTCGAGCACATCATCGTCGGTGACGTACAGAGGGTTTTGAGCGGCAACCAAGGGCACGGAAACACCAGTATTGGCTTGAAATTGGCTCAAGAGGCCGAAAGCTGGCGCAGCTGACAGTGGCTCCATTGATCTTAGCTTACCGACGTTTGCGATCGTCTCATATGTTGAAGTCTCTGATCGTGGGTCGAGTGCGTATTGAGTCTGGGTGTGTCTATGTCTATTAGCTTCGACGACGGGACCCTGAATGTCTTATTTATTCTCCAAGCGACCGCCGCGAGAGTGATTGAGAAGACCGGGACACGCGACTTTGGCGTGCCCGCTGCCTCACCCTGCGCGTGGCCGTCGTTTGGCCGGCGTGGGGTCGAGCAAACACCAATGCGAGTGAAAGGCCTTTGGTGACATCGTACGTTGTGTAGACTCGAGAAAGGTCCGAGGACTGCGAATATTCCTCACGTTGCGGCGACTTCCCCTTGGCGAAACAAGAGACGTGTAGACAATAGCGGTGATACCAACGATATTCCAGAACAAGTGAAAGGACGCATCAAGGAAAGGGACATTTCACATTGGGGATACAAGGAGGGCATAAATATATTCATTCACAAATCTTTCACCTGCTCCACTTCCCCCTGCGCTTGGCCTACACTTGCTTACTCGACTGGAAAGGGCCAGCCACTTCTTCGTGTGCAGCCTGTCATTTGTATAGCGCTGGATTCCCGGACAGCCTTCGAGGCCGGCTGATCTGACATTGTCAAAGCGTCGTTCGGATATACGTCGGACAATGGCGACGTGGGCATCTACAATCGAACAGTCAATTCAGCTGTGCAGAGCGAGGAGAAGAGGCTGTACCTGAGGCTTCATTTCTCTAGCGACAGGTACAAGGCTTGCATGCAGTC